GATAGACCAATAAATAAATAAATAAATCCAGCTACAATGACTCCACTAACAGACACCCCCAAGCATTTGAGTCATAATTCTGGCAAGTGGAAAAATACATATCGGCTGCAGCACTGAGGCCGTATATTTAGGTGCACCTGCCGTCTGCACGCCATTCAACTAGCCTATCTGATGCTTTATAACAGGACTGAATATAAGCACGATCATTAAGGTGCGTGTGCATTGGTACACTGGCAGCATAATGTAATACTGCACTTTCTGGCTTCATTTACTCAGATGGGCTTATAGGACATCACAGTAGGTTTGCTGTTCTTTTACAGTATTACAAACGCAAACCTCATACCGTGTGAAAAAAAAAAAACTATTTTTACATTTCAGGAACCAATTCAATTAAATATGAAGCTGAAATTTAAAAAAAATGGTTCGTGAATTTTCTGGCTCCAAATACCTTTAAATTGTACTGATGCGTATTACTGGCTAAAGGGATGTGCATTGCTGCCTGAAGCTGGTCACGACGGTCACGTTCATAAACTGTCCAATCGGCATAAAAATAGCACATAAAGTGCTTTCCTTCCAGTCTATCCAAATCTATACTTTTCATCCAGGATTTACGAAGTAAATGGAAATGCAGGTTAATGTCCGTTTCTCATGTCCGGTGCCTCATCCATGCTGTCCCCGAAGTGAAGTGCTGCATGCAGCAATGACAAAGGGTCACGGCTACGTTGGACATTTTCTCCCGCAGATACGGTAATAACTTACGCTTCGCAGGAATTAGGCATAATTTAATGCATCCTACGAGTCCAAATCGTAAGTAATATTTAGTTTTGGACTTTTACTGGTGCAATAATCCCATTCGACAATTACGACTTAAATATAACATAAATCAGCATACATCTAAGTATAGTGCAGTGTAGCATATTATAATGGTGACATGCCGATTTGAACTTCGTACGACAGCTTTCCTAAAGGGTGTAAAACACGTTATCGTTATGCTTCATTAGGATCCGACTCGGCTTTAGGCTGGTATAGTTGCTAACTCGGTGACTTGGTTCATTTCAGCATCAGATGGCCTTTCACGTGCAACATGCAAGCGAAGTGGAATAAAACGGTAGTGAAATTGCTTACATTTGTCCCCTAACTAGATCAGCTGATGAACAAAAATCCGCCGTTAATCAGCACTTAACACTCATGTGGTCTTATTCATTTTGAAGTACCGTGGGGGAAACTGCATGATTACGGCCATAAATCGCCAATCTGAGATGTCGCCAGTTATACATCGTCTTTCATCTCTTTATAAAAGCGAACAGATGAAGGGTTACACCAATGTGAAGTGAACTTTAATTAAGTTGGTCCTCTAACTGAGACAATCGATCGCGCCCTCCTATGCTTGGCGATGGGCAAAAATATATGCGGACATAATGTTGCTAGGAGACAAGCTCCTTCTTCACAGTTTCTCTTTAAAGGTTCCTTTAGAATTAAGTGTAAATCAGGGACGGCACCTGTAAGACATAATAAGACATCCCTTGCAGCACAGCATACCAGAGCAACGTGTTCATTCGGATTCAGGAGAGAGGAGAGCACATCACCTTGACTACCCTTGATCCACCGTCCGGTTTCATCCCTCTATCGTTACAATCACCAATTAATACATCGTGCATTTGAAAATATGCCTTTAAAATCCAGGAAACCTTTCGAGGCATCTCCTATCCAATGATTACATATTGATATTGGGACACTATGAAGACTGCTGTAGAATACTGAATAAGTCTGACATAGTTCTCACATATTTATGGTTTCTTAGTCATCAGCTACGACCGTCAAGGTGACATTTGAAACAGAAAAAGATATTAATACAAATCAGGTTTATTAGATTTAAGTAATTGAATGTATAAGATTTCTGTGTTGTAGAGTCTTTAGTCATTAGTGTTCAGCCTCGTGGTTTAATATGTTAAAATTATTGTATGACTAGCATAATAGAATCTTTAGACTATGCTTAACTAATAACTAATAATAAAAAGTATGACGGTAACAACAAAAATAACAAGTATAGTCTTTTGTCATATGCACTTCATTATTCTAGCTATCAGACATGTCCACAACCAATGAATTGTCCATGAGCTTATTGACCTTGTGCCAATAAGGCAAACGCTGCAAAGTCGTGTGAATGACTTGATGCTTTTTCTGACCCTATTAAGAAATGACACCGGTGTTTAAATACTACCTAGTTGCTATAGTAACATTTGTTATGTGAAACAGGCTATTCACGAAACACCCCAGCATGCATATCATCTAGAGAGTACACAAATGAGTCGAATACTATTTTATCATAATGTTTAAAAATACTTACCCCAACTGCCCCCGGTCCGACCTAAAAACTCTTTCCTTTCTGAATTCCATAGAAACTTCTTCCATCCACCATCAGCGTCTTTATTTGCGGCTGGCATTTCTTGGTACTTCTGGCTCGCTCTCCTGTGGTTTTTCTTCTTATTTGTAATTGGTTTTTTTGTTTAAGTGGTTTTAAGGCAGACTGCACACCGGAAACCCCGCCTCTCCCCCCCGATTAAAAAAAATATAAGAGATCTCACCCGGCTTTGCCTAGTTGCACCCCAGAAAATTTATTTCTCCTGATTATTTGGCTCCGCCCGCAAAACATTGCCGGCAAGGGAGGGAGGGGCAGCCCTGGCTAATCACAACATGCGGGCTTTTGCGTAGCGCCGGTACGTCGTGCAGAATATGGGCGCTCCGCCCTAGTCTGTCCCCGGAGCTAGAAAACATACTTTAGTAAGGAATTTGGTTTCACACATTCTATTACATATCATGCGCTCATATCTCACCAAGACATTGCTCAGTAAATGAATCAAGAGCGATTACCCAGAGATATGGTTTTGAATTTACCTAAAAATGTGCACGCAGCTGAGTTGAATGGAGCCGGTGTCGCCGGCATCTGTATGATGTGCAATATAGTTTCATATACTAGGTGGCGCTGTAACCCGCTTAAGTCCTAGAACTGCATAGTGCGGATTTTTTTTTTTACTTCAAATTAGGGTTACTTCAATGAACAAAATGTCACATAGTAATAAAAGATCGTCTGACCAAAGTGTAAATGATCATATCCCAATTACGTCATGTCCGTTTTTTAATATTTTGGTCCGTGTCCAAATAAAATAAATATATATAGTATTGCTGCTGTCCGTAGTTATTTTTTACCCGGCATTTGCAGATTTTAGCACTGTGTGATAGCTAGGCTACGCGGATAATGCAGGTGTTACCATAGCGACCCTTGTTTAACGCGTTAGAGCTCTTTTCTTGGCGGATTGTCGTAGTGAGATTAAAAATACACTTTTGTATTACCCAGCAGTGACGCAAGTGTGTTCTATTAATGATTTCTGGTGAAACAAACCACATGCATCCATAAAGAAATATATTAGTTTACCCAGAAACATTCCCACGGAAACGTCCCACCCTTGTCCAGAGTAAAGTTCTCCTGAGGCACCCAGAAATAACCCTCACTTTTCTATGTTATATTCACTCTAACGCTTAGATTATTACTTCCTAACATTGTTAGGATTTGGGTTTTGACCTTAGAAATGAATGGGCGGTGCTCACAAAGATATGAGTACAGGTGTGTGTGCGTGTGTGTGTGTGTGTCCATCTGTCTGTGTTTGTGTCTGTCTGTGTGTCTGTCTGTCTGTGTCTGTATGTTCGTGTGTGTGTGTGTGTCTGTCCATCTGTCTGTGTGTCTGTCTGTGTGTCTGTCTGTCCGTGTGTGTGTCTGTCTGTCTCTCTGTCTATCTGTGTGTGTGTGTATGTGTCCGTCTGTGTGTGTGTGTGTGTGTGTGCGTGTGTGTGTGTGCGTGTGTGTCTTTCCAATGGTTTCTGGGATAAAAAACATGATACTGTACTTCATAAGCAGTTGGAAGATGTATAGTAATTATTTCAAAATTCGAGCTCTTGCATTGGAGAATTTTGTGGTCCCAGTTCAGATCACATACTTCTGTTTTTCCCATGACAGTATCCGCATTTATAAGTGTGATTATACTCCTCTGCTGGCATAATGTCTAAGAATATAATGTATGCCTACTTTATATGCGACTTTGTATGGACAGACAATATTCCTGTGGTAAAATAGTAAAAATTCTAAAATTGTACATATAAAACTATAAAAATAGTACAATAGTAAATACCCTGTTATTGAGATAGTGTCACGATCGGTGGTGCAGACGAGCAGGCAAGCAGACGAGCTGACCAAGGAAGCAGGGTTAACGTGGCTTTATTGCACGCAGACAGGACCGGGGAAAACACGACAGCAACGTCAATGACAGAACTGGGGACTACTGACTCAGACACGGACTAAATACAAGAGACAAGCTAGACTTAACAGGACACAGGCGATCACAATTAGGGCTGAACACGAGGTAACGAGGTGGGCGTGGCACACATCAGGAGCGGACGGAGCGGATCATGACAGATAGGGAGATACTGTAGCAGTATTTGAAAGTACTGTCACAAAGGGTCGTCATTGTTGCTGGATACACTTTTTTGAAGCACAGATTAAGTTTATTTGTTTGTTTATTGTTGTTTGCCAGACTCCATTATTGATATAATTATTCTTTATTGATGTAATTATTTGAATATGTATTTACATCACTTGGTGGTCTAATTTTTTAATTATTACAAAAAAAATGCATTTTTTGAAAGTTTCCAGGTTTTGGTCTCAGGGTTACAATTAGGAACTTGTTCCAGGGCCACGTGTTATGTTAGATTCTTAATCGCTTTGGTGAAGCTATTATTAGGGTATAATCTAAATTCTCCTGTTCCAGGTGTAGATTTGCTAAAAGAAAGGTAACCCAAAAACCTTCAGGCACTTTGTAGGAGAGGGGTCTCACCCCTGCTCTAGATTTGTTAAATAGTGCTTGAAATCAGTTGAAATTCAAAGGATTCTCATGTTCAGTCTTTCATAATCATATAATTAGTTTCTTTAAAGATACTGTAATACTGCAGGAAGCATATTAACTACCATTTAATGTTTTAGTTCAGCAACTCTGACATCATAAAATAATTTGAGTGGTTTCACTCTTTTCTGTAAGTTCTCCATTTTACTCATGGTAGAAGTTTTTTAATTTTTTGAAAAGTATGTGCAGCAACCAATAATGTGATAACTACCATTATTGGCAGTTATTACATTAGGGGTAGTTATTACGTTATTGGCTGCTACAAGGTGCATAAGATATCTGTCATACAAAATTCAAGTCAGAACAAAGAAGTAACATCTCAGAAGTTACAGTTGCATTTATCACTCAATACATTGGTATTGCTTGAACCATGAAAAACAATAAAATTTTGACAAAACCAAGTATATTTCTCCCTTTGTAATTGTCACACAGTTAGGCAGAAGCCACAGACTTTACATTGTCACTTCTTGAATCACTGCTTCTACTCTGTATTATTAACACACCTATTGTTTTATTTAGTTTTCCTCCATCACATTTTGCACGATACTAAAAAAACTAGTTCCAAAACAAAAGCACACTAACAGTACAAGCCCCTGACTTGTGGAACCATTAGGTCTAGCAGGTACAATACTAGCTGAACCAGAATTACATGTATCTGGAGCTTGGCAATACCTGGAAATCTAAAGTGTTCTGACAATATTTCTGAGAATATAAATGCATCATGAACCATGTGCTGTATTTCTTGAACCCACTAGATGGCGCTCTTGGTTTGCTTTATGCCCCTTTTTTGAACAGAAATCACCATCTAGTGGGGTCAAAACAGACACCAAATAGTTCATGAAGCGTCATTTGGTCTTGTAGCGGTAATGTTAACCCATTACTTGTTCTGGGCTGTACAAGTAGCCCAAGCATCATCACTAGCTTGTACCATGTGTACCATGGAGAGCCCATTGAACAAATAAAATAGGTACCTCAATAAGTATGTCAAATGGCCTGCCCAGGGACAGAGATAAAAACTGGAACTGGGGATAAAACAAGGTGCAGAACGGGATGACTAGTGACACCCACTGACCCAACAGGGAACTACAACAAAGGACTCTGACATCGGGAGAATACCAAGACATGGACTAAACTAGGAACACTAGGAAGGAGCAGAAACATGTGCATGTCTTCTAGGGCAAGCAGGGAACTTAAGGAAATAAAGGACAGAACGGGACACAGCAGAGACCGATCCTGACATGAAACTATAAAAGCAAAAAAATACCTACAAATCACTTAGACAACAACAGTGCAGAGGACAAGGACCTGTAGTCAGTGATTAAACACCAAAATGATTTACTGGTTTCATGCACTTGTAGTCCAGTCATATTTTACAGTCCTGTTAACCTGCCTAAATGAGATGGTACGCAATTCCAGGTTTAATAATCAGTAAACATTAAATAAGACAGGATTTAGCCACAATACTGATGAAAACCAGAAGGTACATCAAGTTAAATTAATAAAAGAATGGCTGAATGTATACATTTACTTTTCGTTGCCTCCACAGCTGTTCATCGAAAATGGATAATGCATGTCTTGGAGTGCATTAACCCACTGATATACAGTATATTATATAACTGTCCAGGGCCCCTCCAGGGTTCCGTCGATACCATTAGTGTATCTGTTATAGTTCTTACTGTTTTGTTACGGAAAATGTTGGTTATAGTGCAAATGAGAAATAAATAGAATATAAATATTTAGACATATATAAATTATATAAATTACAGTTTAAGACAGTTTGAACAAAGAAATACAAATAATCACATAAGTGGTGGAGAAAGTATTTTCAAATTGGCATGTAAGTGGAATGTGAAATGAATAGGTGTAGTTTCAGAGCTATAGGACTCAGAGCATTCAAGTAAAAAACACATTTATTGGCTTTCACCTTTCCAGTTGATCCATCCAGTAAGTTTGAGCAGAGGGCTCCAACCTTTTCCAGGATGAGAGCTACCTTTCCTATTATGCCTATATTTAACATTGAAAAACATCTATCACTGAACATACTTTCGCACATTTTAACTGACATATTCTGTTTTACTTTTAATGAGAGACTTGATATTGCATGTCACCAACCAGGGCTATGGATGGAACATTCATAGAGCACTAAGCACATTTTACTTAGTGGAATAACCTCCAAGGATTCAGACAATTTGTTTAGATTTGAATGTGGGTGTGAAGGTTTTTTATATTAAATTTAAGTGGATTATATTACATATTACAGTGATGTGGCATAGCATTTCCCGGGACTGTGGTGCAACACAGAGAATGGCCATGACATGAACTCCACAATAAAACACTACATGGGAACAACAACTATTATTTACAATTTAAAATACTCGGATCCATACATTAAATATAGATACATATACAAGCAGCACTGTGCATGGCATGACCAGCCCCGTGATGTCACAATATGTTTACCCTTGTTAAGAAAACATTTCTAAGAAAACGTTAACAACCAGAGCCACCAGACTGTAACTGCAGTCAGATATTAAAACATATTCAACCACATTTTTTAACTGCACAATTCAAGCAAATTTAGCCCAATGTATAAACGCGCCCAATCTGGCAATACGGTTAACATAAATTGCGCGTGGTGATTCTTCGGCCAGTGACTGTTAGCGATAATTGTATAACTGAAAGGAACGTCACAGTTCGAAAGTGTTACACAACATCTGAACAGACTTAATGAAAATGTGAGTGAATGAATGATACTTAGAACACAAATGAAAACATTGCATTTTTTTCCATATATATATTTAGGATTATTAGAGGGCCATTTGGCGAGCTACTGTTTATGAGTGCAGCAGCTATCTGTTGGAGACCCCTGTTCTAGACATCTTACAGGTTGATGAGCATGCAAGGAGTGATGAAGAAGAGGTGACAGGGCCGTCCAGGGAATACAATGCTGTCAGTCCGACCGCTCACGTTTCTAGTTATTGTTACTGATTTTGTTGTTGAATAATAAAAACAATGTATAGAAGAATAAACATTATGTATATAAACATAATGTAAATGTGATGTAATGTGTTACAACTACTGCCCCGAAAGTACATTTTAGTAAATAGTTCCATGAACAACAGGCAAGGTCTTAATGTTACCTAGTAAACAGGAAAACTGATAAGTACACTCAGGAACGATTGCGTGAAACAAGATAGGAAACATCAGACTGCTTCTTGTGTGCAGTTGCACAGCTCATTTGGCCGTGTTAATCCTTCCTCACTTTCAAAATAGTGAATCAGTTGTAATCACAACGGAAGCCACACTCCTGTGTAAAATAGTTGCATTTACACTTATTATTGAACGTAAATCAGCCAACTTTCATTGAATATGACACATAGTATTACAGTGGTCTGCAGAAATCTATAAAAGGAACAATAATTAAAATTGCAAAGCTAGGTAAGGCTTTTTTTCTATGACAGAGAAAAAAGGTTTTGGCGAAACTTAAACTTGCTGCACTATAATGTCTGTAAGCTGAACTGAAAGTAAGAATCTAAAAAACTTCTAGCTGACTAATGATGTAAGAGTTGCATGTGTATAACAAGAGATGCTGGTATCAGTTTCGCACATCGCCCAGCCCTATAATATACTAAGCAAAATACAAAATATCTCCGCCTCGCATTAGGATGTTATTTGGCTCAGGTACCAGTTTTTACCGCAGTGAAAGTGCGGTGGAAAAGTGCCCTTAATTTAACAGACACTAATTATTTCAGTAAAAGGTCAGGTCAGGTTGAGGGGCATGAACTGGGACAGCGCCTTGCCGCACCCAACACACAATCAAACACCTCAGGATCCTGCTTGGTGACCCCGTAGGCCGACTCGCGGTCCAGTCTCTCCCTCCAGAAATGGCCGTCTATATGCTGCAGACAGGTGTTACCTGGGCGCCCCCTTGGCCTGGTTCAGACGCTTGGGTCCTCAGCAATGAGGATCCAGTGAGCCGGATCACCATCAGGGAATCACGCCACATGGCCGTAGTACCGTAACTGTCGCTCCCACACAATGCAGGTAATGTGCCTCATTCGGGACTCCCTGAGAAACTGCTCATCTGACATAAAGACATAAAGCCAAACCAGTGGTACCCAAGGATTCTCCGAAGAGGCACAGTACCAAAGGAGATCAGTCCTCGTCTCAGGTTACTGGGTAGCATCCATCTCGCAGCCATGGAACAAAACACGGAGGACCAGGACTCTAAAAGCGTGGACCTTCATCCACTTACAATGATATCGAGAGCACCACACACCCCTTCCCCGTGACCTCATGACCCCCCACGCTCTCCCAATCCATCTACTGACTTCATAGGAAGAGTCACCAGAGATGTTAATGTCGCTGCTGAGGTAAGTGAACCTCTTGACTTGGTCAACATTCTCTACGCCAGGGGTCACCAACTCCGGTCCTGGAGGGCTACTATCCAATAGGTTTTCTATTCTACTTGGCTTCTGATGAGCCACACCTGCTCCTGGTATTTACCTGAGAACTAGTGTGGCTCATCAGAAGCCAGGTGGGACAGAAAACCTACTGGATAGTAGCCCTCCAGGACCGGAGTTGGAGACCCCTGCTCTACGCAGATAGACACACTGCCGATGGCTGTGCCCAAGAGGTCATTAAAGGCTTGGATCTTGCTTTTTATCCAGTACTCTCGTAAGCCCAGACACTCAGACTCCTCACTCAGTCTCTGAAGAACCCTAAAATATTTGGCCCGGTGTGATAGTCTTTCATGGGGCCCCTGGGCAGGAGTGACCGAAGGTTTGGCTATAGCAGACCAACCATAAATGTTCACCTAGTGAAGCTCCGGACAAACAGTTCTGGTGGAAACAGGTGAGTCGTGGTGTGCATTTAATTCTGCAATGAGTCGAGCAGCTGTGGTTTAATGTTTTTTGGATACAATCTGCGTTAGTGCCCAGACGTCCCTTTCACGCAGCTTCCTCTTGCGTCCACATTTACTCCTGTTAGATGTGGACCCTCATTCATGGTGGAATACCAACATTACCCTGGGGACCATGGCTCTCAATCCACCACAAAGACTTGCTGTTCTGGTCACAGATGCACCAGTGAGATGAGCACCAACAATTTGTCCTCTTTTGAACTCTGGTATGTCTCCTATTATGTTGGGTGGATTTTGCAATATTTTATGTACAGCTGTACTATTGCTAATTCAACCTTCACACTGATGGAATGTGCAGTCAGTCAAGACTTTGCCACCAGGCCGCGCACATATAGGCGTGAATCCTCAAATACTATTTTGGCCAGTGTTTCAGTTACATTGTCTAAACCCTTTGAGCCGCTCTTTTCTGTATTTAAAAGCAACCTCACAGTCCTAAGAATTGTCCGTGACTTTTCACGTTTAGTCACTTGCAAGTTGTTACATTGTAATTTGATTGTAGTGACTGTAGCTCCCGCAATTAGAGACATGATGACTAATCAGAATGCATACTGCAGATCTGTGATGTATCATTCTTGATTGTGAGTCCTCACCATGGCAAACAAGGCTATGGCCTGTTTAATTTGAATGATATTTTCAGTTGTGGAAAAGCAGTACATTATATGTCTTTTGAACACTCAATATTAAGTAATTGATTTAAAATTGAATTTTAAAGTACTATAATAAGGGTGGGGTAAGGGTTCTTAGTTATTACTTTGTCTGCATTTCCTGTACAGTGTCACAATCATTTTAAATATTGGTTATATATGCAGCCAAATCAATATAATCTGTGTGATAATAGCTGTACTTCCTTTTCATCAATTGACCTTCTTTGTCCTTCAAAGCTCTTGCTGAAGGAAACGAATGAAGAAATGAAGAAAGATTAACAGTGATTTAAGTGCAATGAAAGGTTCTCTAATCCAAAAGCAATCAAGCTGGAGGTTCTGCAAGTTTCCCTTTTAAGGTATCCAGCATGACATTTACTGTGATATAGGAAAGACTGTTGGAGATTCCACCTTAACTATTAAACCCAAGTTGCAAACCAAACTGCCTGAAAATTACATATTGTCTCTGGATCATGATATAAAGCATGTGCAAACCGAAGCCTTTAGAGAAGCATACAGTGTGACAGATTCAGCTTCAAGAGAAGCAGCAAAATACTAGGTTTCTCAGCCCGTGAGCCTGCTGATTGGCAAGACAGACTGCGCTATGCGGAGACACCAGTCGGTCAGATTTGGAAGAATGAGTCCCAGCCTCTTGCTGCTGGGTTTGCACCTTCTGACTGGGGTGTCAGGGCAGCCCGTCTATGATGAGGACTGGGTCAACGTGTTCCAGCAGGGCTTCAACTTCCAGTGCCCCCACAGAGAGCTGCTGGTGGCAGTGAGGAGCTACTTCAGCGCAGCAGAAGGTTCTGACCGCCTGTGGACCTTTGAGTGCCAGCCGCCCCCCCATGACTTGGGAGAGCCCACTGAGTGCTGGTGGGATGACATCAACCGTGCCGGCATGGAATGGTAGGCTTTGGGGTCCTTTGTGTTTATCTACATAAGTTCTGACCTAAGTAGGCCTGAGTTAGCATGGTCAAGCTATGTCGGTAATAACCTTTTGTTGAAGAGGGACAAAAAATTTGACTTTCTATAGGCAATTGGCATTTCCTACCACTTTGGTACATTTTACATGGCAGCTATTGAAAAGAACATGCAGTGATCGTAGGCATGTTGGTGGAAACAGCTAACATTGACTTCCATTGCCCTGTATTTTTCTTATTAAATGTTTCATGGGGCTTCGATGCTGGATCAGACTCCATGCAAAAGTGAAGTATTGCTTCAAAGTTCTTCGAAGGCCTGTTTTTCTCTGAAGCAGTAATTTTGCAGCTTATAATGAAAATTAGTTGCAAATTTGTAATTAGTGTTGTATAATAAATTTATTGGTCACGATTAGTACATTATGACTACGTAATGGAGGAGACATCAAAGATTTAATTTCTGCTTTATTTATATTCCCTGGGGTTTGTTTATGATAATACTGATTAGCACCCCCGTTAGTCAAGCAAAATGAAAGAGCTTTGATTATGGGGCAGAAGGGGATCGAGAAAAGAGGAGAAATCAATGATTGATGTTGTATAATGAAGGTGAGTGAATGAGGAATGAAAGATGAACCAGTCGTCTGGACAATGTGGCAGATAAACAAACGACACAACTGACAACATGCGGCGAAGTAAAAGCAGAAGCTGGCATCTTAATAGAAAAGAAAACAATGTGTAGAAACACACTCCATGGGAAATATGGGAGTAAAGCAAAAATGTACCTTTATATTTTACATTATATGCATATATATCAGTACTAATCCATTAGTTAAAATACCGTGTGTCATTTTAGATCATTATTTTGTATCGTGCATTTGTAGAGATTAGAAAAATCTGAAATGGTTATTCAGAATAAATTTTAAAAAGTGTTTTTATTCAGCAATAATTTTTATTATGATAAAAACATAGCTTTGTGTATATTCATAATAAAATATCTCTGCAGTAAAACAAGCATAGTGGATGAATTCCTCTTTGGGTTATTGGGTTATCTATAAATATATGCAATATTACATGGGCTGATGTTACTATGTCATTAGCCATTAAAGATTCTCAGACACGGTTAATTATTTACCTCTGCCACCTTTTCCTTGTGGCTGTCTGTCGGGAGGCTGGCGTGTGTAACGTGGAGATGCTGCCAGCAAGCCAGACGTGGCTCCCGGTGTGATTTACAGCGCTGGCAGAGAGGACCGTCTGATCCTCCGTATCGCTGTCTGCTCTTCTCTGTTGTTCTGGAGCAGCAGCTGCCTCTCGCTCTGGTTGACTCACCGTCACCTGCTAGGCCGCTATCCAGTAGCGTATCGTGACCCAGGGCAGGTAACGTGGAGAATCATATGAATGATGCATTTGTGTGAAGGACCTGTACTAGATCTTGTCTTGCATCAGATTCTGAGGGTGAAGTTACCGCTTTAACAGTCCTGAATCCTTACATGTCATCAATAATTGTTACATCAACAGAATGACTAAATGATACCACTGGCCTCGTACATCTCCCACCTTATCATTGACAGGGTCAAGCAGGGGCTTATAGCCAATGCCAGGCTGCAGAGGGCAAAAGGCACCAACACACTATGGGCAATAGACAGACCCTTGGTAGCCTACCTGTCCAACTTTGGATTTCGCGGTAAGAAACTTACACAGCAAAGGGAGAACGTGCAGGCTCCACACACAGAGAACGGAGGCAACATTCAAACCCTCAATTTCGGCGGCGTGACTCACATTTGCTACAACTGAACCACCATTCATATGCATTTATATACAATACTGTGCAAAACACATGTTGACATTAGAACATATGGAAATTAAGAGTAAAATAACAAACTAACAATATTAAGTTCTTTTCTCCAAAAGGTTACTGATATCTTGTTGGATGGCTAGATGAACGCCGCTTCAGTTCCCAAACCTCTGCCATTCCACGTATTTGTTGAATTTCACAGCCAGCTCAATGGGCTGACTTTAGGGGAAGTTTTGAAATGGCTAAAGCGATACACTTTGACAGAGATAATGTCATAGTTTTACACCAACAGGAATCTCATTTAAATATCATTTTCTTTGAATTTTCATTTCTTTGAATGAACACATTTGCATAGTACAGTATATGATGCATATATAATATCGATATATTGATTAATTTGTACTACTGTGTGCACTATTTTTATTTGGAGAAATAATTGCCACTAATGAAAATGCTTAAAAATAAATCAAATTGTTTGGCATTTTAGAGAACTGGGTCCAGTTCTTCGAAACCGTCGTAAAGCTACATCGTTTGTAAGTTCTATGTTAAAAGAAAAAACTTATGAACAACGTAGCGTTAAGGAGACTTCGGGAAACTCGCCTCTGATTGTTAAAATTAGCAAAACACTGAGAAACTACAAATAAACACAAACATACACGGACACATAAACTCCATGCCTGTCTGTGTAGCCTTGCAATGGTCACTCTGCAGGGGTCCGGCGACCCCACAGCTGTCCACCTCCAGAAAGGTCACAATGACAAAAAAGGAGCAAACTTTGGTAACACTGGGAAGTTAATCTGGAGTTAATGGTGGTTGTAAGCGCCACTTATGCAGAATGGTGTAGTTTTGTTTAATTAAATGGTTGGAATATGTTGTCTTAAACCTGCCATTATAAGTTGAAATTTATGTAGCATATTATTACATGAAAGTGCTTCTCCGGTTAGTTTTGGTTTGCAACTGCCGGAAGGAATATGTGTCAGAGGAGCAATAAAGTTTTTGTTTTTGAATATGCAAATAAAGAAGTGGACGTTGGGAGCCACACGGTTGTTTTACCGTGACTGGTAACCTACCATTTAACGCGTAAAACAGTCTACCAATGTTCATTTCACAGAAGTGGTCAAATTTTTAGATTGTGACAAAAAGAATAACGTTCCCAAACGAAGTCGACCACTACAGTGGTAACTGGCCAACAAAGGAACATCGCTGTTGTCATGCTGACCTTTATTTCAGACATAGATGTACAAACTGTTAGAGAAATATTTGACTGGTATGTCACTGAGAATATTTATCAACAATACTCATTTTACATAACTGCTTAACCAGAGCCTGAAACCAGTCCGAAAAGGCAATGGACCTGAAGAGAGGACACCCTGGATGGGATGCCTGCCAGCCACCAAGAGACACCCATCCACCTTAAATGCATCCACCAAGAGACACCCATCCACCTTAAATGCATCCACCAAGAGACACCCATCCACCTTAAATGCGTATCTTTGCACTAAGGGATAGAATCTGGAGGAGACCCACACATGGCGAGAATATGCAAATCCACACTAACGACGCCGCACAAGAATCAAACTAACAGCTCCTGAGGTGTGAGACCACTGTGGGATTCGCTAAGACATGCTGCCTAATGCCCATATCATTCATAGATATATTCCATACCCACTTATATAGTACAGGACCATAGGGGGGGGGGGGTAGTGCCCATCCCAGGAAGCAGAGAATGTGAAGCAGGATTCATATTCTATCAGGGGGTCCAAACCACCTTCATTGATCTCACATCAGCCCATAGGCTACCATTGATCCTGGTATAAGCATTTACTATTTATCTGCTAGGCTTGTAATCTGGAGAGACTATTCATTCAGTACGGTTATCCTTAATGCAATAGAAGAACAGAGGTGCCACAGCAGGTTAGGACGTTCTTACCGGAAGGTTGATGGTTCAGGTCCCTGGACCGGCAGAGTGATGTCACCGAGCAACCTTGGGTTTCTCCAGAGACAATCTAACCATGCTTTCTCAAATGTATGTCACTTTGCATAAAAGTGTCTGCTAAATTAATTAAACGTCAATTTAGAAGCAGTATTAGTCTGTTTTAACATCACATACTTCAGCCAGTCTCTACCTACACTCCTTACCCAGTACAGGGTAACTACGCTCATACAGTACAGGGTCACTGCAGGGGTCTCCCATCGGTTATTCGCCAAACATTCCTCTAATAATCCCAAATATATAAATGAAACGGTCTACAATGTTTCATCTGTGTGCTAAGTACTGTGCATTCACTCAAATTTTCATTTAGTCTGTTCAGATGCTGTGTGAAACTTTCGAACTGTGACTTTACTTTCAATCATACAATTATCGCTAACAGTCACTGGCTGAAAAATCACGCTGCACAGTTTCCATTAGCCGTGCTACCAGATTGGGCGTGTTTACGTGTTGGGCTCAGTTTGCTTGCATTGTGGTCGAGTGAAATTAACTGCAGTTGCCTATGCGATGAGAGGATGCAGTGTTCCAGTGAGGTATGGCTCTACACTGCAAATATTTCAGAGGGAACACTGCGTAACTTTGTCTTTGTTGCAGGTTCTCTGTGTGCTCCAAAAATGCCATGGTTGCTGGGGTTCATTCAGAGGGAACACTGCATAATTTTCTCTTTGTTACAGGTTCTCAGTGTGCTCCAAAAATGGCATGGTTGCTGGGGTTCAAAGTCAGTACTTCAGTTCAGTTATGGACCGCGAGTGGCAGTTCTACTGCTGCAGATATGGCCACCGATGTCCCTATTCCTGCTGGTACATCCCGTCTTACTCATACTCTGGGAGTGGGCTTTTGTGTCCTAATAGACACTCCTGTAATCTCTCTCATGGTGCAGAGACACTCAACCGCTATGTGTTTGAGAACCGACGCTTGTTTTTGGCACAGGAGGACTACTGACGTTCCCTGGTACTACGGGGAGGAGGGAGACATGACGGTGCCAGTCTATGGATATTTTATCAGGGGGGCGCAAACCACCTTCAGTGGTGTTCTCAGGTCAGCCCATCGGCTACCATTGATCTTGGTATTAGCTTTTATTATTTATTTGCTTGGCAGCTGATCTGGACAGGCTGCACTTTTAGTTCAGTTACCCGTAATCCCTTTGGAAGCTGTACACATCAGTTTTAAAAGCACAGTGAGAAAGATTTTTCTTCAGGCAGCGTTAATATCGCCAGAGGTGTTTTTGTAACCGTCTCTTTGTTTTCTGTCTTGCAGAGATCGGCAGTGGAAGTACATCGTATGCAGGATGACAAATTTTGATTGTGAATTTCAGAACTTCTAATGCGGCTCAACAGTGGGAAGAAGCTTGAATATATACGTATGCTTGCCTGCCGGTAAACTACAAAATAATGCAAATATACAGAATTTTAAAATAGTTTACTGCTAAATGTTTATCATGAATAGAAATTTACATCAGCTGCAAAATATGCATAAAATATGCATACATTTTTTGCAAAAAAATGGAATATCAGGACATTACAGTGATCCATATATATTATATGATGGTGTCTTATCACAAATATTGACATATTAATTATGTTTATTGCCGAAAAATGCATATATTCCAACAATGTTACTTATCCGTCTAAAAAATTAGTACATTAATGCGTAATACAGCTGTGAATATGACACTGACATGTTTAATGTCTTTATAGAATTCTAGTTGTTTTGAAAAAGTTGTATATTCTATTAAAAAAGGCACTCTGACTCCATAAATACATTTCAGCTTTTTAATCTTTTCTATTGGC